CTGCCAGAGGAAGGGGGTTTCCCTTGAGCGGTGGTTCTCGGACGTCCTTGGGTGCTCTGCAGGGTCCAGCTGCTGAGGGAGACTAACGGGAGCCCGAGTAGGTGATCCACGAAAGAAGAAGCGGCGTCGTCGCGAAGAACCGCGGAGGGTCAAGCCGCGACAATATTATATTGACAGAGATACAGATATGGCAGAGACGAGAGTAAAAACACATGTTTTATTAACAGAAGTACAGAGACACAAGGTAGGTACACATGTATCATTGACAGAAAAACAGAAATGTCAGAGACGGTGGAAAGTACATATATTATATTAAATCAAGTACAGAGATGCCAGAGACGGGGGGAGTACACATGATTTATTGACAGAACTGCATAGAGGCCAGACACGCACGGAGGAATACACATTTTTTATTGACAGAAGCACAGAGATGCCAGAGACGGGGAAGTAGAGATATTTAATTGACAAAGTAACAGAGATGCCAGAGAAAGAGGGATTACACATGTTTTATTTATAGAGGTACAAAGATGCCATAAACAGGGGAGTACTCATGCTTTTTGACAAAGAATTAGAGAAGCCAGAGACGAGATGAAATATACATTTTATTTTCAGAGATACAGAGATGCCATAAATGGAGTGAAGTATATTATAATATACTGACAGATGTTAATAAATGACAAAGACGAGTGGTGGAAAACACAAATAATAATGACAGAGGTACGGAGATGCCAAAAGCGAGAGGAAATACACACGTTTTATTGACAGAATTAAAGAGATGCCAGAAACGGAGGAGTTCACATATTTTATGGAAAGAACTACATAGATTCCAGACACGGGGAGAGTACATATATTTTATTGACAGAAGTAAAGAGATTCCAGAGACGGGGGGAGTACACATGTTTCATTAACAAAGATTCAGAAATGCCAGAGAGGTGGAAGTACACATGTTTTATTGAAAGATTTACAGAAAGGCCAGAGACGGGGGGGAGTACTCATGTTTTATTGAAAGAAGTACAAGGAGGTAAAAGGATGCTAGAGACGGTGGAATACACATGTTTTGTTGACGGAGGTACAAGAATTCCAGAGACGGTGGAACACACACGTTTTATTGACTGAGTTACAGTGACGCCAGAGACGATGTAATACACATATTTCATTGACAGCGGTACAGGGAGCCCAGAGCCGGTGGTATACTAATGTTTTATTGACGGAGGTACATGGAGGCCAAAAACGGTGGAATACACATATTCTCTCGACGGGTGTACTGAGATGCCAGAGACGTTGGAATACACATGTTTCATTGACGGAGGTACATGGAGGCCAAAAACGGAGGAATACACATGTTTTTTGACGGAGGTACAGGGAGGGCAGAGACGGTGGAATACACATATTCTATTGATGGAGATATACAGATACCAGAGACGTGGATTACACATGTTCAATTGACGGAGTTATATGGAGGCCAAAGTCGGTGAAATACACATGTTTTATCGACGGAGGTATAGAGATGTTAGAGACGATTGAATACACGTGTTTTATCGACGGATTAATTGATTTAGTGATTTATTTAACTTATGATTTAGAGCACAATAGTCATGGTTAGATTTTAGTGTTTTATTGACGGAGGTACAGGGAGGCCAGAGACGGCGGACTACACATATTCTCTTGACGGATGTACAGACATCCTAGAGATGGTTGAATACACATTTTCTATTGACGGAGCTTCAAGAACGCTTGAGACGGTGGAATAAGCATGTTTTATTGACGTAGGTCAGGTTTCTAGGAAAACAATAAGTTGTGGATACAGTTTTTTGCGATATACTTCAATACGATAATTTTATGGGATTAATCTATATATATATATATATATGAATGTCTGTGTGTGATTCAAAAACCATACATCCAATCGCCGTGAAATTTTGGGATATTATTAGGCATATCCCGGAAAGGTTTTCGAAAAATAATTTCTTGAATATCTTTAATATCCTTAGAGTTATTTGCAGATTTGTAGCTTTAACTCACAAGCAGCGCCACCTTGCGACGGAGATAGGCTTAGGCCTGCCCCCCCCCCCCCCCCCCCCCGTCGAGAAAATGTAATCGTCCGGCCGCCGGCTGGTTGGACAGTCCAAGTTCCAACCGACTAATCAGAGGGATCAAGAGGTCCTGGCGCGCGGGGGCAGAGTTGGTGACACAGCTGTGCCAAGTAGACAAGAAAAAAGCCTCGCGGGTGACCTCCGGGAACTACGTCCATCTTCCATAAACGACCATGATTTTATTCAACTTATCGAGTATTTTTCAAGGGACCGGGAAAAAATGTTCACTAGATAAAACGATGATTTTGTAATGTAGAAAATTAGGAAAGACAATATTCAGGATGACACGGCACACCGGGACCGGGAAAAAATGATCACTTTATCGAGAGATTCAAATTTACGAGTTTCAAATTATCGAAATCAACTTATCGAGTATTTTTTAAGGGAACGGGAAAAAATGTTCACTAGATAAAACGATTATTTTGTAATGTAGAAAATTAGGAAATACAAAATTCAGGATGCCACGGCACACAGGGACCGGGAAAAAATTATCACTTTATCGAGAGATTCAAATTTACGAGTTTCAAATTATCAAAATATATCTTTTTTTTTATTATATGTTTATAGAGAATTGTTTTAACAAATGTTCGTTAGACAAACCTTTACTCGGGTAAAACCGAAAAAAATGATCACTTTAACGAGAGATTCAAATTTACGAGTTTCAAATTATCGAAATCAACTTATCGAGTATTTTTTAAGGGACCGGGAAAAAATGTTCACTAGCTAAAACGATTATTTTGTAATGTAGAAAATTAGGAAATACAAAATTCAGGATGACACGGCACACAGGGACCGGGAAAAAATGATCACTTTATCGAGAGATTCAAATTTACGAGTTTCAAATTATCAAAATATATCTTTTTTTTTTAAATATGTTTATAGAGAATTGTTTTAACAAATGTTCGTTATACAAACCTTTACTCGGGTAAAACCGAAAAAAATGATCACTTTATCGAGAGATTCAAATTTACGAGTTTCAAATTATCAAAATATATCTTTTTTTTTTAAATATGTTTATAGAGAATTGTTTTAACAAATGTTCGTTATACAAACCTT